CTGATTTAAATCAACCCAGCTCTGGTTTCAATTATGGGGGAAAAAAAGTAAATTGAATACTGTATTATTTTACAGTGAAAGGGGGGAAATCAGACTTTTACGCATGATTATATTAGTCAACTGAACCTTATATCTGTTTTATGAAACAAAGGAAAGGAATTCTGAATGTTGAAATGTGTAAAAACCGAATAAAAATTAATTTTTTTTAAAGTGATTGAAATCACTGATTTTTATTTTAAAAATCAAGTTGATTTAAATTTTAAAAATCAACTGATTTAAATCAACTTGATTTAAATAAACCCAACCCTGGCTGGGAAGAGAGGGAAGGGTGCACCTCACGCTCCATCAGAGGGATGAGGTGTGAGGTGGAAGAAGAAGAAGAAAAAGGAGAAGAAGAAGAAGAAGAAGAAGAAGAAGAAGAAGAAGAAGAAGGAAGAAGAAGAGGAAATGATAGAGGAGGGGGGAGGGGGAGGAGAGAGGGCGGAGGGAGAATCCACCCTGTCCTCCCCTACAACCTCAAAGCGGTTTGTCAGAGGTGTCTCGGTAGAAGGAAGAACCTTTTTTGCTTTAGTCACAGAGACATGCCTGTTGACCGTGGGCTTTGGGAGGTCAGCAGTAGAAGGACTTGCCGACCTCGTGGCTTCCCGTGCTACCTTTGCGTATGACCGGCCAGGGACCGGGGTCACAACTGGCAGGCAGGTAGCTTTGCGGGCCTCCTGAAACGAGCAGCCATTTCGTACTTTATACTCTTGGATTGCGCGTTCTTGAATCCAAGTCGGGCAATCCTTACTAAAGGCTGTGTGCTGGCCGTGGCAATTGGGGCAACAAGGACTAGCCTTGCATTCCTTCTCAGGATGCCCGGTCTTGCCACAACGAGGACACGCGGCTGCTTGTCGGCATCTCGACTGACTATGTCCGAACTTCTGACACTTGAAACCAGCGCAGAGAGTTCGGTACATAGGGTCGCACGTCTAAGACCAAGTACGATGCCTGAACGGTGGCTGGAGGGTGACACGAATCAAAAGTCAGGATGACCGTGTTGGTTTCGAGGGTGGTCTCCCCCCGTCGGAGAGTAATCCGGCGGGCGTCAATCACACCTTCGCAGTTCGCCACAATTTCCTCCATGCTGCAGCCCTTTAGTTCATGGCTGCGGACAACGCCTTTCGAGCAATTCAACTTCTGGTACCGTTCGGAAGTACATGGAATACTGCCGAAGGTCGTGATGTTCAGAAGTTTGGCCACTTCAGTCTCTGTTGCGCACTTGACGAGGAGTACACCAGAGGACAGCTTCTGGACATTCGTAGGAATGTATCCCAGAACCTGTCTTAGTGCATCTCCCGTCTTGAACAGATTCAGATCAGTGATCTTCTTCTGTGCGTCTTCTTTGTAGCTGATGGCCACGTACGGCTGCTTTGGAAGCTCCCTGGGAGAAGGGAGAAAAGAGGCAGACGTAAAGGTCCTTTTTCCAGTTTTGGAGTTTTTGCTCGGCTCGGCGGCCGCACCCGCTTCCGCGAGCCGAGATTTTTTATGTTGGGAGCTGGGGAAGGGTCTTTTTTAGTTTTAGAATCCATGAGAGTGTTTCATTTGATTCAACTCTGGGGCTCCCCGCCCGCCATGGAGCCCAACAAGGGGACACATTGCTCGGATGACCAGAGCTGTGCCAGGGCTACCCCGGAGCTATACTCTCAACGAGAAAGTACAAGACCCTCCCGTCAAGATTGACCCAGGGCTTGATGGGGTTTCAGCTCTCAACCGATTGAGTGGCATGGGCCGTGCCACCCTCCCGTCTAAGACGAAAACCTGGGCCAGAGAGGTGTGTTGGCGAGGGACAGTCCGTGGACTGATATCACCTCAACCGCCAGGTACCCGGTTTCCATCCGCACGGGTCGCACCTCATGGTCAACAAGGCGCCCACTCTGTGGGATGGGTGACCTCTCGTTTTGCTGCACATGAGGTCAGAGGTGGTAGGAAAGATAGAAGAAGAAAGAAAGAAGGAAGGAGAAGAGGAGGATACACCAGAGTAAGTGTCGCACACGGATCCCAGAGGGTTGGGGTCCGCGTGCGACACTCCGCCTTTGAGGGGGTTGCACCTTCTGCAGACGAAGCAGTGGGTCTATTTATATCCCCCCGACCCACTGGGGGTATGGAAGAAAAAGTAAATTGAACACTGTATTATTTTACAGTGAAAGGGGGGAAAGCAGACTTTTAAGCATGATTATATTAGTCTACTAAACCTTATATCTATTTTATGAAACCAAGGAAAGGAATTCTGAATGTTGAAATGTGTAAAAACGGAATAAAAGTGATTTAAATCACTGATTTTTATTTTAAAAATCAAGTTGATTTAAATTTTAAAAATCAACTGATTTAAATCAACCCAACCGTGTTTGATGTGGCCTGCTCCTGGTAGTTAGCACGTTGATGTTTTAGAGTGTATTTGACCCCCCAAAGGCCATCAAGGAACCTAACCCCTACTGACAATGCTTTCAGTGCAAGTGCAAGATGCATGCAAGGAAAAATTGATGTCATGCACAACAGGCAAATATGTTTATAGGACATATGTGATAAACATAATTACCCACAAAAGGGTATGTCCCCCGCATGCAACAGACAGACTTGGAAACAGCTTATCCAGGCAAGCAAGAGGTCTCGCAAAAGCTGCACAATGGCTACTGAACAGCAAATATAGATGGCCTAGGATCTAATTCTCAACTGAGTACTCTTGAACTTGGATTGTTTCAGGAATTTCCATGTTTGCCCACTCACTACAATAGGTAAAGTTGGATATGGAAGACACTGAATTGGAGAGAGCACTTCTCATTATTTTAAACTATTTATATTGCATTTGAATATATGCCAAACTCATCCCTTAACATGTACATGTATTAGATCAGAGGCAAAGTCATCATATTGAAGAAAATATATAGACATTTGCCAACCAAAGCCAAAGAAGAATTCTTCTGACCTACTGGCAAGACATAGAACCAGGAACCATGAATGCAAATTACACAACAACCTGTTGAAGAAGAAATCCTCTCGAGGAGATGGAGGTGGACTGAGCCTCACGCTTTTAGACTACACCACAAGACAAGCTTTATCTTGGAACCCACAAGATAAAAGGAAACGAGAAACTATAATAAGACTCTCGGGTGTCGTGATGTGAATGTACACCCAAGCAAGGAGTAGCAGACATTCATAGTGATAGCTGGAGAGAATGGACCAGGATCGTGATTACTGGAGGACTTGAGAGCGCAAGTTGGAAGCTTATGCTCCACAAGGGAGACCTACCAAGTACAAGACACTGCATCTAGGCAGAACATCCACACAGAAACGTATATTTATAAGAGCACATAAAAGGTGTTGAGCCCAAAAGCATTTTTTAATAAAATTTACCATACCGGACGAAAAATGTTTTCTTCTATTTCATTACTTTGACGAACGCCTGATTTCACCTCGATGGTTCACATTTTATTTCTCCAAATTTTGAAAATTCTACAACCATAACCCCAGGGCTTACATGATCAAAGACCAAATTTTTTCTCAGAAAAGATGAAAAACTCCACCGTTCCATACCCTCATTGTAAAAACTAAAGACACCTTGGCAGAAGAATATTGAAGATGAGTAAACCCACTAAGAATGATCATTGCAGGGCAACACAGTCAAAACGTATAATTCCACCCCCCCCCCCCATAATTGAAGCAATTCAACTCTGTTTAAATAAATAACAGAACTTCCTAAAAACCACATGTGACTGCCAGAAAAATGAGAGACTCCTGTGTTCTTTTTAGATTACTCAAGGCTCTGTGAGTAAACATCTGGGGGGGGAGGATTAAAGATATTACAATCTACTGCTACTGAAGTCAGACTGGAGACTAGGGATGGGCAGGTACCGGTACCCAGTACCGGAACTCCTGGTTCTACCAAAGGAGGTGTCAGTACTAGCACCAGGCCTCCAGTACCAGCTCTAGGAATGAGCCGACACCAACGGTTAGCACCGGCTCAGGGAAGGAGCCAACACCAATGACCAACGGTTTTTTAACCGGGCCACGGGCATTATGCTGAGTGTAGTCCTAGACCTAGCTGCTGTGACGTCAGATGACCTTGATACATGACTTCAGATTCAAAATTGACAATCAAAAACGAAGTTTGCTTAAATTTAAATATGGCATCAAATCCATGCGAGCCACTTTGCTTATTTTGATATGCTGATTCCGAAAATAATTAAATTAATTTTTAGCAGCGATAATTATTCTAAAAATTCTGCATGCACAGTTTAATCCCGCCTGGCACCAAACTTCAAAGGTATTTTGCGTCATAGTTCGCCTTTCTAATTCTGATTTGTGTGT